CTTGCCTTGGAACAACCGACTGTCACTCCAGACTTGTGCGTCTTCCGATTGTCCAATCTGATCAGCAGTTTACTTTTCAATTTTACAAGGTTTTTCATCATGATAACGCAAGGCCGCACACATCTTTGGTTACTCGGCAAAAATTATTGGAACTGGGTTGGGATGTTTTGTCACACCCACCATATAGCCCTGACCTTGCGCCTTCGGATTGATATTTGTTTCGTTCCATGCAAAACTCTATAAATGGTAAAATTTTTAACAACGCGGATGATGTCGGATCACACCTAATTCAGTTTTAGGATTGGTAAAATCTGATATGTGGGTAATGGTAAAGAGAGTGATTAAGTGGGAATAATAACGGAAACAATACATATCGCACTTCAAGCTTTGGAGGTAGCACAAATGTTGAAAGTGTTATAGAGCTTCACTCAGCACAGCTGCCAAAATATTCTTCAATACTTTTATTGCATGGGTGGCAGCATAGTTTGTAGTTCAAAACATGTAAACTGTCACGTCACATTGATGCCTATTCATTAGGATTCGCAATATTTTAGCACCCATCATTGCACATATTCAAACACAATTGTACCTTGAGCTAATATGCGCGTTTTGATTAGTAGGAAATATGATTTTTCCCTGGCTGTCCACTCTTTGCAATCCTTTAAAAAGCGGTTTGTCTCCTGCAATGGACCCAAGTCCATGACCTATACTTTCAACAATTTTCCTGAGGGAAGAATAATTCGCATTGTGATTGCAAACAACCACCAAGACGTTATATTCCAAGTAAGCCAATGGAGTAAAAATACGAAGTGAAATACCACTTAAATTGCTCTTTTCTATTATCAGTGCAAACACTAACAAGAATTTTATAAAGTTTTGTCAGCAAAGATTACCATTAAAATTGATTCTCATTGAAAGCATATTCACTACACTTGTGCCAATGGGTACGTAATTGACACGATTTCAAAGAAATGTTCTGACGGTTCCATAACTAGGAGCAGCACCACATGGGTAGGGCAGGGTTCGAAAAAATATATTTGTGTCTAAAATTGCCGCCTCTCCAGCTTGTGACGAAACCGTTCCGAAAGGATGAGCTAACATACCACGAGGTTGTGGATCGGCCAAGAATAGAGAGAAATGATGATATATTTTTCCTTACATCGTCGAGTATTTTGTGTGTGACTACTGGATTGATACAAAAGTCGGAATTCCATGCTGTGAGTTTGTGACGAATTGCTTCATTTACTATTTTCGAAACTTTGATCCAATCGCTAACTAATAATATGAAGGCTACAATTTTCATCCCAGGTGGCCACGTTTTATCCCATCACTGGGCTCGCACACAATATGATAATTTATATTGAAATCGAAAATGATTGCTACTGAAGAAATATAAGTAGATTCAGCGTCTCGTTAATTCAAATAGATCAATGGACAATTTGCGTAAATTCAATTCTTGCTTTAAGGGATTCGAGTCCGTTATAATAATATTACACTTTTTCTCCTTGATATATGTCCA